ATGCCCCTCTGCCAAGTACATTGGTCAAACTGGACAGTCTCTATGTAAAAGAATAAATGGTCACAAATCAGATGTCAAGAATTATAACATTCATAAACCAGTCGGAGAACACTTCAATCTCTCTGGTCACGCGATTACAGACATGAAAGTTGCTATATTACAACAAAAAAACTTCAAATCCAGACTCCAGCGAGAAACTGTTGAATTGGAATTCATTTGCAAATTGGATACAATTAATTTAGGCTTGAATAGAGACTGGGAGTGGCTAAGTCATTATGCAAGGTAACCTATTTCCCCTTGTTTTTTCCTACCCCCCCCCCTCCTCAGACACTCTTGTTAAACCCTGGATTTGTGCTGGAAATGGCCCACCTTGATTATCATACACATTGTAAGGAGAGTGATCACTTTAGATAAGCTATTACCAGCAGGAGAGTGGGGTGGGAGGAGGTATTTTTTCATGCTTTGTGTGTATATAAAAAGATCTTCTACACTTTCCACAGTAGACATCCGATGAAGTGAGCTGTAGCTCACGAAAGCTTATGCTCAGATAAATTGGTTAGTCTCTAAGGTACCACAAGTACTCCTTTTCTTTTTGCGAATACAGACTAACACGGCTGTTACTCTGAAACCAATCAAATAAGACACACACATAGGGACTGGGGTCTAGAATCCCCTGAAATACAGCTCCAGAAACACAGGCTGCTATTAGTTGATCCAAAAGAGAATTTCTTTATCTGGTGATAGTAGTAGCAAGTTATTTATCCTCTCTGTGGGCCAGTTGCTAGATTGCAACATCACATGCTCTCTCATTCACACAAAGGCATGATCTCTACTGACTTCGGTGGGGCTCCAGATATCTACCACAGTACACTGCACAGATCTCATTGCAGGATCAAGGCCAAAGCCTCTCCTTGGTTAGATAAAGCCTGAGCTTCTGTGATTCACAAGAGTTCAGCGATCGGGCAGCAATCTATAATTAATCCATATGCTGCATAAAACAGACATAATTACTGTATATATATATATATATATATATATATATCACATGTCCCCTGCAGAGTAAGGACTAAACCTCTCATGCTTAAGCCCTCTACGCTCAGGCTTCTATTACTTGAACTAAAAGAACTTTTTTTTGTAGTAGCAGTAGCTGCTAATGTATTTGCTCAGTAGGCCATCCACTAGTAGTAGAGCTGGTCAGAAATGTTTTAATCTAAAAGTTATTTTAATATAAAAACAGGGAAAATTTAAACTAAAATTTGCACACAGACACACAAAAGTTACCCTGTTTCTCCAGAAGCTGCTGTACTAACAGATACAATATTTCTCTCACTCATACCCACAAGGACCTGACTCTGCAAAGATTTAAGCACATGTTTAAGTTTACACGCTGTGAGTAGTCCCAGTGAAGTTAATGAGAATAGTCACAGGGCTAAAATCAAGACAAGCACATGTGTATGTCTTTGCAGGATCAGGGCCAAAGTCAGTATATTAAAAGTGGTAATGAGAGAAAACCAGCACATTAAAGAGTTAAGTTTCCTGTGGGGGCACTGTGACTGCAGAACTCTCTGCTATAAATTCAGCCATGTTTTACTACCCCTTTTATTCAAATTCTCTTTAAACTGCACTATTGGGTTTAGTTTGGCCTTGATTTTACACTAGGTAAGTTTTCAAAATATTTTTTAAAATCTTTTCCTTTCTTAAACTCAAACATATAGGCTATCCCTTCAGTTCTGTCTATTTAATTTTAATGAAATTTTATTTATGGTTTTTCTTTTACTTGAAGTCTGGAGAAAGAATAAGGTTTTCATATAGCTGAGGGAATGATGCAAACAAAAAGAAGGAGAAATAGGCAGAAAAAAATAGTGAATAAATTTGTTAGTCTCTAAGGTGCCACAAGTACTCCTAGTCTTGAGTTTCTGCCCTTTTAGGGGCTTCCCTCCCCCTATCATACAGATCCATACTAAAATTTATTGTAAATTCTGTTTAGCTAAAATTATTACTGACAACATTTGGTTGGTCAGAGTTGATGGGTGGGAGGGGAGCAGGGAGGATAATCTGTGTTAGATAATGCATTGGCTTGGAGCATGTTTAAACTGAACTTAAAATTTGTTCCCTAGGATGGGTAAAAATATCCCCTTAATAAAGTCTTCAAGAAACTAAATGCATCTTATTTTAAGCTATTCAGGAATTAAATAGTCTCTTACAACCTCAGGACTGTCACTTGGTGTATTGCAGAGTAACTATGCAGGTATACATTTAGTTACTATGATGGCAAGTGTTATATCATTACTGAAATAGTCAAAAACTGAGGAAAAGAAGCCACCATATTTACCTGCTTCTGGGGACACCTTTCTCAGAGATCTTCTAAAAGAAAAGGCTTTCTGGTTTTGAATTTTCAATTTGACAACTAATACACGTCATGGGTGCAATTGCTATCACTTAGTATTTTCTTTAAAAAATTATGTATATACCTTCATACTGGTGGGCTCTGTTTCTTGCATGGAAAATTGTACTACTATATGATCATGGAGAGCTATTCTAGGAGCTCTTAATACCAAAGAAGCATTAGTTTGCTTAGAGGAATAATCATAGGACTGGGAACTAGAAATAGCGGAGTTATACTCAAGTTTCTATAATTGACTTATTGTGACTTTGAGAAGTCACTTGACTTCCTTGTTCCTTCTCTGTTTTCCTCCTGTAAAATGAGGTATTCAAATATCCCATTTCTGTTGTGAGGACTAAGGGCTTGATTCACAAAAGGATTTAGGTGTCTAACTGCCACTTTAGGCACTTAAGTCCTAGAACCAGGCCCCACTGGCATTCACAAAGCCCCCACTCAGCTGCCATCAAACCCTGTAGGTGTCTAAATTCACTCAGCACCTAAACTTTTGCAGTACAAGTTCCCTAGGTGCCTGTGTTTCTTCTTCTGAGTATGCACACTGGAGCACCACAACAGGGATCTAGGTGTCCAAGCTTCAGAGCGTTACATGAACCATGGGAAGATAGGCAGTCTTCCACCTAACTCACTGCTGGGGCCCCAAGCTCACTTATAGATGAATGTATGCAGAATGGGGAGACCTTTCCTTTTAACTTTCAGCTCAATGGCTAGTATACTTGGCTGGGATGTGGAAGACCTCTGGTTCAAGTCCCCAGAGAGAGGGAGAGGATTTGAACGGGGACCTGTAACCCAGGGACTTCTTAGTGTCAACTGGCAGAGGGCACAGGGGTGCATAAGGGTTACAGGGATCATCTACATAGTTAGCCAAAGAACTTCATGAAAGATGTCTACTGAAAGGATGATCAGTAAGATATAGGCTAATACTTGCAAAATGTATGGATAGATAATATATAAGGAGTTATGTGAAATGTTATTAAGGTCTGTGATGGGGCTGGTCATCAAAAGATGAGAAAAACAGCCTTCTTTCAGGCAAGAGATGTTTATCTATTTGTCTGACTACATGGAAATTGAGTATTGTATGGTTCACAATAGACAGCCATTTACAGTCTGAGCCTAATGCTGATGAAGGTATTGTAAATTCCCTTTCTGGAAGTTCTTACAGAAGAATTAAACCAGGAGGAAGGAGCCCTCTTTATAAGATAAGACAATGGATTTTTGGACTATAACTGTAGGTACAGGCTATACTCTGCATCCTTTACTGAGGGGACAGGCTGAGAGAATGGCTTGTTTCATGATGATAAAGAGATCACAGCCTACCTGGCTGAAAGGCGTTAGTGAGCAATACTAAGTTCTAGAATGCATATTATAATTTTATTTTATATGTAGTTAGTTTTCAATACTTCCATCAATATGCTGCTTCTTGAATCTATTAGATATGTTTATAATAAAAACAAGAAGTATGTTTAAGCGCTGTGTGTGGAGTGGAACGATGATCTTGAGGTGTAACTGGCAAACTGAGGTGTACTGTTCCTTTGGGAGTAGCAGATCTGTGAGTGTCTAGTGGAACTGGTTTTGTATAGTTTAGATGGATGCTCAGAGTACTCCGAGTAGGGCTGCTGGAACAACTTTTGTAATGGGACTGCTGAGAGCCATTGACCCAAACTTTAAACCCTGTTATGTGATGTAAACCACTTCAAGCTGGGGGGTGTGCCATCACCCCTCCACCCCTAGTTTCAGCATCTATGGCTCAGGGTTTGGTGTGCACCTATTGTTAATCTGTAGAGAGCTAGGGCTGACTTCTGGAGGCTTGGAAGGCAAGGGGGAACTGACCCACAGTAGGCACAGACAAGGAAGGCTGAAAGCAGATAGTAAGGAAGTGCCACACAACCATGGGTACCATCACACTTTCCAACATCTCAATGCTCTAACCATTGAGCTATGGGTTATTTTGTTGCGGTGGGGGTCCTTTAGTCTCTCCTCTTGAAGTTGTTCCACTGTGGATTAAATTAAGTCACTGGATGAAAGAGCAACTCTGTAGCTTCATGGATAAAGCACTCATCTGGGAGGTGGGAGACCCAGGATTCAGTTTCCCTGCTCCAATAACTTCATATACAATTTATTCACAGTGGAACAGCTGTAACAGAGAACACTGTAGACTAGGAGCATAAAACGGGCTTGAATTAACATAAAATTATAGAAGAAACTTAAATCTGCTGAAGGGCCAGAAAAAGAACATAGCACAAGAATGGCCCGGCCCTGGCAGCTCCACATGGCCACCTGCAGACAGAAAAGAGGAGCCTTCCACCCATCTTCCACACACCCCTTAACTTGGTAACATTAAGAGGTGCTACTCTGAACCGCACACATGCGCCCCGTGCCACTATAGTGCTATGGCAAGGCGACTGCGCATGCGTCATCCTGCATCCTCTTTTCCACGGCTTCATCCTAGAGCCACGCTCGCCTGAGCCGGCTAGGACAACACTAGTTAGCGCCCATGCCAATAGCTGAATCCCCCTGTTCGGCTTCACTCTGGCGGAAGTGGCTCGGGACGCTATAGGTCGGACTGCCCCTCTTCCGGGTTTGGCTTCAGGTCTGTGTGGGCGGGGCGAGTCCTTCCCGGGCAGGGACCTGAGCGGTTCTCGCGAGAGCTCTCCCTCTTCCTAGGCCGGCGCTGTGAGAGGTAGGTGCTAGGGCCGCCGACGCGGAATCGCGTTTTAGCCGCTGTCCCCGCAATACCGCGCCGAGCGGGCACCAGCCCCTCGGCCCGGAGGGGTCGGTTGGGGATGCGTCCGATTAGCGGCCTCCCGCGGCCCGATGGCCGCTCAGGAACCCGGCGCACCCCGCCTGGAGCCAGGGGGCACCCGGCCCCGCGGAGCCTGTCTCCTCCGGGCAGAGCTGGGGCCTCCGTCCGGGCCCGGGGGTCGCGGCTGTGGGGCTTCTGAGCCGGGGCCCCGTGGCCTCTGTCCAGGCCCGGGATCCCTACGGCTTCTCCGTACAGAGGCCGCCCCAGAAAATGATGGGCTCAGCGTGTGGGCTCCTGCCGGGCTCTGGCACCGGGGGGAAGGGAGCAGCCCTCCGACCCGCCCCGCTCGAAGAGGCCGTGGCTTCTGCAGCGTGGCGTGGCTTCTGTCAGGAGCCTGATCCCAGAGACGTCTGACTTCTGGGACTCCACTGCTCGCTTTTCCCCATGTGACCGCTTTGAACTGTGCGCGGCTTGTGAAGCGTCTCACCTCTCCTCTCAGGGCTGACACAAAGATGATTTGCCTAGTGAGACGGATGAAGGGCCTAAATCTTTGCTGTGTCCAACTAACAGAAAGCCCTTGGCTGTGCATTGTGGCTAGTAGTCATGTGTCTGCTGACAACTGAGATGTTTCTGTTCTTTGGGTTGTAGAAAGGCCATGTTCAGTTCTAGCGCGAAGATTGTGAAGCCCAATGGTGAGAAGCCAGATGAATTCGAGTCTGGTATTTCCCAGGTATGTTAGTTTAACTCCACTATCCCCTAATAACGTGAACTAATGAAAGCACAGGTATAATCCTAGCTTGATTCAAAACTGAAGTTAAACTGCCTGAATAAGTCTCAGTTTCCTAAGGAATATAGGAATTGCAGATTTTTGCTTCATATTCTGCTTCTGATGGTAGCAAATACCTTATGCTTCAGAGGGAAGTGTAAGAACTAGTCAGTCATGCAGTGAATGGGCTATTACCAGCAGGAGAGTGAATTTGTGTGTGGGGGGGTGGAGGGTGAGAAAACCTGGATTTGTGCTGGAAATGGCCCAACTTGATGATCACTTTAGATAAGCTATTACCAGCAGGACAGTGGGGTGGGAGGAGGTATTGTTTCATATTCTCTGTGTGTATATAAAGTCTGCTGCAGTTTTCACGGTATGCATCCGATGAAGTGAGCTGTAGCTCACGAAAGCTCGTGCTCAAATAAATTGGTTAGTCTCTAAGGTGCCACAAGTACTCCTTTTCTTTTTGCAGTGAATGATGTATGCATTTTGGGTGGTGAGGGTTAGGGTGTGTGTTCTTGACCCCATGGATCAGTTTATGCTTGGAAACAAATATATACAGACCGTTTATAGCAGATGATTGATTAGTGTTTAGCAAACTAGTGCATGTACACAAATGCATCAGAAAGTAAAAGGATGTAACTTAAAACTGACAGTAATCAAAACTGTTCTCTCTAATTCTTCTCTGTAGGCTCTCCTGGAGTTGGAGATGAACTCTGACTTAAAAGCTCAGCTGAGAGAGTTGAACATCACAGCAGCTAAGGTAGGTTTCAAAAAACGTGCACCCCATCCAAAAAAGGTGACTGACTTTGTTGCTAACTGACAATTCTGTATGTTGATATCTATCTTAAATGGATATTAATATGCCATGTGACAAGTGGTCAAAAAGTTTGAATTAAAGATGAATGCAAGATTTCATGGGATTGTCTTGCTGGATACTGTTGTGACTTAACGGGAGGAGGCAGACATCAAGCTTTGTAACCCTGCTTATTGGAGCTGACTGCCAATTTTATTTTTTATTTAAAATACAGTTCTAGTCTTAAAAGTGACTGTAAAAAATGCCATTAGAGCTTCCACAATTCTGACTCCAGATAAACTGATCAAATTTAACAAGTATAAAACCTATTTCTAACTTCCCAGACCAAGTTTGCAGGACTGGATCTGAAAATCCAAATGACTTCTTGCTTGCTTTACTAACCCTGAAGTTGCAATTGCAGAATCTTCATCAATGAAATGCAGACTAGAATTGTTCTGTTTTTAAAGAACAGCTCTGGGGTGTCTAACATATGTCTCATAATATTCATGTCATTATATAAAAAAAAAAAACACTAACTTGGCCTGTATAAAATGGGAGTAGATCAAGATACCAGTCTCACATAGTCACAGAGTAAGTGTCAGCTCTTCAGAGTTTAGTTTTAGTCTAGGATGTGATTGTAAAAATGGCATGAGGTCTATATTTAAAACAAAAAATACTTCAGAACAAAATTTGTTCAAATTACAAATTCTTCTGCCAGCCCTGCAAAGCAAACCTAAGATTCAAAGTGATCTTTGTACATAAGCAGTAATAAAACTTATGCAGGTTCTTTTGTCCCTAATGGTACCTGTGCAAACTTGTTGGGGTCTATACAGGTATATTGACTGGAATTCAGTAAACAAATCTGAAGATGCAAACTGAATTGTGGACTTTAGGCAAGTGGCTGGGGTGTGCACACTGACTTCTAATGGGGCCTGAATCTGTCTCAAGAAGCATGCTCTTGGGAAGTGCAGTACTTGTGCCAAGAGGGCTGTTCCTAATGAGATAAGAAGGGCTGTTGTTGAACAGATTTTGAAACAGTGAGGGACACAATGCATTTTAGTAAATCCAACATGGGCCTCCAGTGAGGTGGGTCTCAGAGGGCTCTACCCAAGTGGTTTTTTGGAGCATAGCTCTAAGACAGAGGTGGGGAACCTTTTTTCTATCAGGGGCAATTGACCCACAGAAAAAAATTAGTGTGGGCCACGCACAGGGGTGGGGCGCAGAGACTTGAGGCTTAGGCTCTGGGGTGGGGCCAAAAATGAGGGGTTCAGGGTATGGGAGGGGGTGCGAGATCTGGGGTGGGGATGAAGGGTTTGTGGTATAGGAAGGGGCTCTAGGCTGGGGCCAAGGGGTTTGGAGTGCGGAAGGGGGCTCAGGACTGGAGCAGAGGGTTGGGCTGTGGGTGGGAATGTGGGATGCAGACTCTGGGAAGAGGCTGGGGCAGGGAGGTGGGGTGCAGGCTCAGGCTGGGTGGCACTTACCTCAGGAGGCTCCTGGTTGATGGGGCTAAGGCAGGCTCCCTGGTTCCGCACTGCTCCGGGAAGCTACTGGCATGTCCCTAGGCTGAGGCCCAGCCAGGCAGCTCTATGCAGTGTTCTCTTCCTGCGTCCACAGCTCCCATTGGCTGCAGTTCCTAGCCAATGGGAGCTGCGGAGGTGGAGCTTGGGACTGGCACAGAGCTTCCCTGAATGCACCTGTGCCTGGGGGCCACAGGGACATACCAGTCGCTTCCAGGAGAAATTTCCAGATGAAATTAGGCAGGGGGCTCGATCCAGCACCCGGGCTGTAGGTTCCTCACCCCTGCTCTGAAGAGTAATGACCTAGAGTCCCATTCCATGATGTTGGAGGATAAGCTTGTGCCCAGCAGTAAGGCTGGTGAGGGAAGCATCAACTTCCTAGTACTTGATCGCATACTAGGGAGGTAAACCATGCAGGACACAATCATGTTACCACGGTTATAAAAGTATTTGCAGGGAGACAAAGTACTATTGAAATAGCAGTGTGGATCTTGGCAAATCAGTAGATGTAACTGACTAAGCTACCTGACTATTTGTATGAAGATGTTGCGTGGAAGACAGTTAGTGGAGGGTGTTTAAGCGATCAACCTGTTTGTGTTGATTTTTATCTTCCATGTACGCCATGGGCAACATTATTTTATTTGAAACTTGATCTCAATACCAGCCCCATGCAATTCTGTTGCACTGGAGACCCATTCAGTCTACGTATTGATGTCTGCTTTTGTGAGATTCTCCTGTTTGAAAGGGTCAGTGAATCTGAATTGTAATTGTGACATGTAGGGATACTAGCCTAATGGGTGAAAAGGCTATTCATTTCATACAGCAATTTACAATTGTAACAAAATACATTGCAACAAAGCTTGATGAGAAAACTGCCATTATTATTATGTTTAATGGATTTGGTAAAGTGCTTGCTGTTACTTCAAAGCTGACCTGTGTTCAGGGGATTTAAAATCAAAGGTAACTTAAGTGTATATTTTGTCTTCTATCTTAGGAAATTGAAGTAGGGGGTGGTAGAAAAGCAATCATAATCTTTGTACCAGTTCCTCAGCTGAAATCTTTCCAGAAGATCCAGGTCCGATTAGTTCGTGAGCTGGAGAAAAAATTCAGCGGCAAGCATGTGGTGTTCATTGCTCAGGTAAATAGTTTATTTTGTGGTTTATCACTCTGTATGTGGCATATTGGTTCCCTGAACCTGTTGGGGCTGGGAAGGTAAATGTATCGAATGTGTGGTTGGTTTGTTTGTTCTTGCTGTAGATCAAATACCTTTCTAGACACTGTCAGTCTGTGGCTATACATAAGTCTCAGAAAACCTGGATTTGTGCAGGAAATAGCCCGACTTGATTATGTAAAGAGTTGTCACTTTGGATGGGCTAGCACCAGCAGGAGAGTGAATTTGTGTGGGGGGGTGGAGGGTGAGAAAACCTGGATTTGTGCTGGAAATGGCCCACCTGATGATCACTTTAGATAAGCTATTACCAGCAGGACAGTGGGGTGGGAGGAGGTATTGTTTCATATTCTCTGTGTATATATAAAGTCTGCTGCAGTTTCCACGGTATGCATCCGATGAAGTGAGCTGTAGCTCACGAAAGCTCATGCTCAAATAAATTGGTTAGTCTCTAAGGTGCCACAAGTACTCCTTTTCTTTTTGCGAATACAGACTAACACGGCTGTTACTCTGAAGCTTGCTTTAAGAAGCACTAGAGAAAAACTATATAGGATGGCCGAACCGTACTCTGAAAAGGAGAAATAACATGTAGCTGAAGTAGAGTCCTAGAAGTAATGAAACTTAAGCAGGAAAAATGTAAGCATAGTATTTTTGCAGACTCTGCAGTGAAAGTAGAATAGAAGTAAGCTTTAATACAAATGGTAGGGAGAGGGTGAGTTTTATTTGCTGTCTTTTAAAGTGAAAAGGAAGAAGGGGCAATGCTAGTGAGATCTCACTTCCTTTAATCTTAACCTCCCCCCCCATCCCCCTCAGTTTAAGCCAAGAAAAGCTTTTTAAGATGGGAATAGATGGATGGGAAGCCAGCATTAGGAAGAGAACAAGCCCCTGGAGTTCTTATTACCATGAGGGTAACTTTAAATGGATGTATGTGTGTTTTTTTTAATAGTTATGAAGGCTGCACTTCACCTGTGAAGGGAAGAAGAGATCCATTTTTTGTATTGTGGTTTAAAAGGATCAAAATACCTGAATTGAATTCATGTGACTGAGTATATTCTGCACAATGAAATGTCTCTGCTAGTCCTGCACTTTAAACTTTGGGCTCTAGAGCCCAAAGTTTAAACATCAGATGTCTTATACTCATATGTGATAGCTCACACCCAGCTTTGTCTTAACACAATAACAAATGTATAACATTGTTAATTATTGAAATCTTTAATGATATAGAAAGGGTGACAAATTTGTTTTAAAGGAATATAACAAATCATATTACCGTTCATTGGGTACTTTAGAACATTTGTCTTCAGTGGTAGTGGCTTGGCGATAGCAAGCATGACAGTTCTGATACTGCATATTGGAGCCAAGGCTCAGCGGGCTTGTCTTCACTATGGGGGTAAGTCGACCTAAGTTATGATACTCCAGCTACATGAATATGATACTCCATCAACGTAGCTTTGGTCAGCTTGCCCCAGTGTCACTGCGCTACGTCAATGGGAGACACTCTCCGGTTGACTTCCCTTACTCTTCCTGGAGAGCTGGAGTACTGGGCTCGACCAGAGAGCGCTTTGCTGTCAATTTAGCGGATCTTCGCTATAGCTGCTAAATCAGTCCCTGCTGAATTGATTACAGCAGCATCGATCTCCCCATAGTGAAGACCAACCCTAGAACTCCTGCCTTCCTAGTTAAACAATGAATCTTCTCACAACATAAGATAAGGCTGCCTATGATGAGTTGCACTTGCTTAACTAAAGAGATATTTTATGCTGATTTTTAAACTGTTGTAGACTTCTGTGTGGACATTCTAACTTAGGAATCCATTTAAGCTAAACCAAAGTAACCCACTTTTAAACTAAAATAAGTGTCCATGTGGGGACAGTCTGCAGAAGTTTAACAAATGCAGTGTAAATATCCCTTTAGTCAAACTTCTACAACTTCCTCATGTAGACATAGCACAGGTGTCCAAAGAACTGACACCAGGAGCAGATGAATAACAATCTCAAGAATAATCTAGCAGGAAATCGTGGTGGGCAAAACCTTCTGCAGTGTTTTTTAGCAACCATTTCTAGAAAAGGCTCCCCCACCCCCTGATGTGGGTGAACAGATTATCTTGGCTATTAGCTTTGTTAAATACAAACTGTTCTCCCCAAACCTTTCCTTCTTCCCACTGAACATACTTGGCATGAGAATTTGTCAGAGGTTGCAGCAATGCACTACAGAAACTGACTTTATCATAAAGCTCAACTTCTACAATTGGAATGTGGTTTTGGGTATTTCCTGAGCATTCCTTGATGCTGTGTGGAAACAATTGTGGGACTTCTGCAGGAGAATGGTAACCCTTGAAAGAAAGTCATATTTATAACTTCAAATCTGAACATCTCTGATTCTGAGGATATTGACTAAATGTTTCATGAGGCTTGATATCACCTTCTTTCACAGAGAAGGATTTTGCCCAAACCAACAAGGAAAAGCCGTACAAAAAACAAGCAAAAGCGTCCCAGGAGGTAAGTAAATGTTACGCTGCTGAAATGTGTGCCATTCCTCTTATATGACTTGCATGACAGCCATTTTGATCATACGTAAAGGGTCTGAGAAAGATGACAAGACAAATATTCTGGGACACTGGCTCTGCAAAGACTCTTCCTTTCAGCATGTAAAGTTTAAGGTACGAATAGTGCCCTTTACCACCCCGAACTTCCTTGCATCTTCAGTATTCAGATCGCTTCTCTTCAAAATCAATCCCTCAATGTGTTTCAAAAACTTATTACTGTCACTTTCTAATCTTGCAGTTCTAGAATGGCTGTGGGATAGCAGTGAGGACTGTGTACAACAGGGGTCAGCAACCTATGGCATGCAAGCCAATTTTTAATGGCACACTGCTGTCTGCTGGGGTCCAGCAACATGCCATTAAAAATCTGGCCCGGCCTGCTCTTCTCCACCCACCGCTCTCTCCTTGCAGGGCCGGCAAGCTTCCCCCTCCCCCAATCTCTTCCCCCCCCTCCCCCCGCATGCTGGGTTCCTGCCCCTCCTTCTCTCCCTCCCTGCAGCTGGTCAGCCCTTGCTATGGAGGGGGAGAGGGAAAAGCATATCCCCTCCAGCCCCCTGGTCAGGGCAGGGGGCTGGGAGCACCTCCACAAACCCAGCCCACGCTCCCCAGTCCTCTGCCCTGACTTCTGAACCCTCCTCACACACACCCAGCCCTCTACCCTCGCCCCTGCACCACCCTCCCCACACCACAGCCCTGACTCTGGCACCCCCCCACATACCCAGCTCCCCCATGCCCTGACTCTTGCACCCTCCACATCCCCACCCTGAGCACCAAATGGGAGCTCCTGTGCGCGTGCACCCCCCCCACCCCCACATTCCCACCTGCACCCCTTGCACCAAATGGGAGCTGCCCAGGTAAGCGCTCCACACCCAAACCTCCTGCCCCAACCCTGAGCCCCCTCCCTCATTCTAGCTCCTGGCCAGACCCTGCATCCCAACCCCCAGCCTGCTTCTTCACCCCCAGCCCTGTTCTCAGCGCACTCCCACCCTCATCTCAGTGCAGCGAGAGGAAGAGAATGGTAGAACCAGGGAGAAGGTAGGTACCTACTCTTTGCGGACAGGGCCGGGACCCCAAACGAGCAGTGGGTTGAGCGGCAGCGGGCTGAGCTGCTCAGCCCATTGCTGGTCTGGTGTCCCGGCCACTGGTCCTGTTCAGCCCACTGCCAGTCTGGGGTTCTGGCTGCCGGCCCCTTGCCAGCCGGGGTCCCGTCCGCAGGCCCCGCTCAGCCCACTGCCGGCCTAGGTGAACAGAACCCCAGACTGGCAGCGGGCTGGTGGTGTAAGATCAGCATTTTAATTTAATTTTAAATAAAGCTGCTTAAACATTTTGAAAACCTTGTTTACATACGACAATAGTTTAATTATATAATATAGAGAGACCTTCTAAAAAACATTAAAATGTAGTATTGGCACGCAAAATCTTAAATTAAAGTGAATAAATGAAGACTCGGCATGCCACTTCTGAAAGGTTGCCAACCCCTGTTCTACAACATTGACTTAGTTGTCAATTCTGAGATTTTTGGTGTATTTCTTGATTTGCCTGATTTCTGGCCTTGCATGGAAACTGGCAGTACGTTCCAAATGTAGTACACGTTTTCCTAATCTTTCCATCTACATCCAGCACTCTTCTTTTTCCTATTTGCTAGCAGCAATTACAAATAACTGACTTCTCTTTTTCTGGTCTGCCCAGCCACTGTCTTAAGATTGTGGGCATCTTGCAAAACAATGAAGCAATGTATGTAAACTGAGTAACTTAAGTGGATTGGGTTGGGTTCCCCTCCCTCCTCCCAATAACTTGTTCGTTTGTTGTAATGCTAGCCTTGGAACAGATGAACATCTAGGGAATGGACGCTAACTCTTCATCTGTACTGCAGAGAATTCAGTCCAGGAATTACGTTCTAGCTAAATTCTCTCTAAGCTGTGTGGTTGTGCAGTAGGCTATCAAGGGCTGTGCAGGCAGGAAGAGGCGTCTCTCCCCAGGCCGCGGCCATGAGAGAGGGCTTGGGGAAGTCATTTCTCTCCCTGGGGCAACCTGCACCCCAGCCAGAGCCCTCACTCCCCAGCCCTGAGCCCGTCCCACACTCTGAACTCCTCAGCCCCACCCCTGCCACACATCACCTCCGTATTGGTGCACATAACAAAATTCATTCCGCACATGGATGTAAAAAATTAGAGGGAACACTGCATGTTAGCGTTAATTAGGCAAGGTAAAATTATAAAATTTGAATGGTGATTCACAGTGTGTGTGCTGATGGATATACATATAACATTTCCTTACGTTTTGCCCCAAGAGATTTGATTTTTATTTGTGTAATTTTTGGATAGACTCACTTTTGTAGTTTGTTTGCTACCTGAGTGGGTGGGGAAGGAGGCTGGGCTTGCATGGGAAGCTGTGATCTAGGAGGTAATTTTTTTATTATTATTTTTTATTCTGACTTGGGGTAGAGCTAAATTCTAAAGGAAAAAAGTGTCCTTGGTACTGTAAGTTCAAATTTAAGCAACAGTTTGCTTCTGTTAAACATTTTTCTCTAACTAGTTGATCTGACTGAAATTGTTGACTACTGTCTACATTCACTGAGTGATTTGCACTTGGTGTTGGTTTCATTCTGGGATACAATCAATTTCACTGTAATTGTAATGTTAAAGATAATATTTAATACTGTGGGTTTTTTTTGTTTTGGAACATATGTAAATTGGCATTCAAAGAACTTCATAGGGCACTTACAGGAATTTTTGTGGTCTTAAGATGTAGAAAACTCTATCTGACGCTGCAGCAATAGGGCTGTATGGGGGGAAACTTGCATTATAATTCCCTTTAAATTGCAAACACTGTTCTACGGAACCTGCTAGATGAGAGTCTGTGTTCCATTACAGAATCATCTCTAACACTGCAAGAAGTGGGGCATTGGAGGGGAATAACCAAATATTTTTGCTGAAATGTCAGGTTGTTACATCCTAACCTAATGCAGTAAATACACTCTTAAAGGTAGAAAGAACGAGGAGTACTTGTGGCACCTTAGAGACGAACAAATTTATTTGAGCGTTAGCTTTTGTGGGCTAAAGCCCACTTCATCAGATGCATGCAGTGGAAAATACAGTAGGAAGGTGTGTGTGTGTGTCTGTCTGTCTATATATATACAGAGAACATGAAAAAATGGGGGATACCATACTAACTCTTAAGAGTTGGTATGGCAACCCCCATTTTTTTTCCAGTGTGTGTGTTGTGTGTATATATATAATCTTACCTACTGTATTTTCCACTGCATGCATCTGATGAAGTGAGCTTTAGCCCACGAAAGCTTATGCTCCAATAAAATTGTTAGTCTCCAAGGTGCCACAAGTACTCCTCATTCTTTCTGCTGATACAGACTAACACGGCTACCACTCTGAACTCTTAAAAGTAGTATTCCTCAAATTCTTCATTTGAGGAAGTATTACACTTACAGGTGGCACTATTAACTTGTGTAAATACAACTTGCTTACACTGAATAGTGAAGCATTGATAGAAATAGTGTAGTCTCAAATATCGCTTTCACTACAAACTGCTCAGTTTTATTTTGTACTGCCATGTCCCTGGCTCCTGGAATAGCTGCTGAGATGAATTGTGGCGTGGTCACAACTAACTTTTTGATATGGTGGAGTAAGGAATTCATGTTTACTGTTTATTTACCAGCCCATACATTCCTTTGTCCCAAGAATTATGGTAGTATCTCTCTGGCAGATTATAGGGGAAGTATGTTTTATAGTCATCGGACTAAGCTTGCCAATCCCTTGAAGGTTTAATTCAGGGGTTCTCAAACTGGGGGTTGGGACCCCTAGGGGGGTCACAAGCCACCCCAAACCCCGCTGTGCATCCAGAATTTATAATGGTGTTAAATATATAAAAAAGTGTTTTTAATTTATAAGGGGGGTGGCACTCAGAGGCTTGCTATGTGAAAGGGATCACCAGTACAAAAGTTTGAAAACCACTGGTTTAATTCATGAAAATATTGTATTTCAGCCGTACACTTACTGCAGTGCATGATGCCATTCTCGAAGATCTGGTCTTCCCTAGTGAAATTGTGGGCAAGAGAATCCGCGTGAAACTAGACGGCAGCAGACTCATAAAGGTCCATTTGGACAAAGCACAACAGAATAATGTTGAACACAAGGTAAGGAACTAACTTTATACTCTTCTCTGTAACACAGGAATTGTGATGAGTCATATAGTTGAGTGTAAAACTCAGAACTGGCAGTGGCAAGAGTGTGAGAACTCTGCCCTGATCTTTAATTACATTTTGGACTAAGGAGATGCAAAGAGAAGTTTTGAAATCGAGCTTTAGTTTGACTGCACTTGGCTGCTTTACACTCTGCTTTTGGTTAACTAATTTGTGGTGACCTTTTTCCTACTTGCTCCCTCTTAGTATGAGTGGTAGAAGATGGGTTTCTTATTTATAATGAAACACTTGATCTTCAAAGCCAATGTACCAGCTACATCATGGGGTAGGGGCCCCCACATATCTCTGTTACTTCGCTTCAGCTGCCTTGTGGATTGAATAGCTCTGAAAGTCTTTGAGTCTGTTCTGCTGGCAAATCTATATGATTGATGGGTTGAGTCTTAATGTTCTACAGAACATTATCACCTCCCAAATAAAGAATTCTGGGAAGTAATCTCAATATGGAAGAATTGTCATCAATTTAGTATTTCACTTAGTCTAATTTTTCAGGAAATGTGGCTTCATTAGTGCTGGTACATAACATAAAACTTGTTCAGAATGAGGTGGGAAGCCTATCATTTCCTGTTGATATAGGATTTCTTAGCAGTAACTTAAGAAACTAGCCAAATTAAACTTGGAATAAAATGAGTTTTGAATGCTGGACTGAATCAGTTCCTGAATGAATCTGTCATCTTCAACATAGTCATCCGTTGAGGTTACTTGTGGGTCTGTCCAACTGGTATATGGGAGTATAGCCCTAAGTGCAGTGATGTACAGTCCCCTTCCACAGTGTTGAAGAGCAAGCCTGTCCCTGGTTCTAGAGCTGATGAGGGCAGCATCCTTTATATTCCTATAACTTCTCAGTCTCTAGACAATTACTGAGGAGAAACCATGCAGGGTGCAACTTGAAACATAATATATAAAATTATGTCTGAACTATACAGCAGAACATGCAGCTTTTAGAAAACTTATAGAAAGTAAACTAATGCTGTTATACTTGACTTTTTCTTTCCAGGTGGAAACATTTTCTGGTGTCTACAAGAAGCTCACTGGCAAAGATGTTATTTTTGAGTTCCCAGAATTCCAGCTGTAAAGTGCAAGAATGACTGAATAAACAGTTTAATTGTTCATATCTTAAGCAATTTCATTAAACTAAACACTTTATAAAAGCACACTACAGAAGGAGGAACTAGCTGACGTAGGTAACTGGTAATGGCTTGGCTATGGAACCTTCTAGTTTAACTGAGTTGCATTTATTAAAGTAGGTAAGAACTCATGTCACCAGAACCTAATGGTAACTAGGTAAGAGCCTTCAGTTTCTAGTGGACATGTCCATATCCTAAATCACACAGAAAGCCTTGGTAGGGAAGTACACTAAACAGGTCTAAATAATAATACCTTCTCCGAGGATGAATTGGTCTGGCAAGGTTGTGTATGCAAACTTAAACTCATGAATTTTCCATTTATTTTAGAAACTCAGGTAGAATGAAAATTGACAGTTCCCAAGGTTGGTGGGAACATTAATCTACATAATAAATACTTGGCTTTAGATATGACAGCCTTGTATGGGGCGGAGGCAGACAAAATTCCACTTGCTTATGGAACACAATTCTTAAACACCTATTTCAAAGGTCACAAGGCTGAAATTTAAGCAGTGTTCTTCCATGCAGGTTAAGCTGTCTTGCTTTGTTATAAATTGTAGACTACTACTAATGGGAGAACATAGAACTACAATGCAGGTTTTGTCAGTCCACAGGTTCTAGCTGTATTCTTGCAAGTCTGTAGGATATCAAAATAGATAAATATGGTTTTCTAGTAGCTTCAGAGCTGGAGGGTTGTGCTACACGCTGGGAGGTGGTCAGTGGGATTTGTTTGAAGTGGTGTTGGGAAGCCTACATTGTTTACCTCAACAGCTTGAGACATTGCCAATACTTCTGAAAGACAGATGGGGCGCCTATGAAATGGGTGACTTTTAAAAGTCCACAAGCAAGTCCAAGGCATAGGGTGACACTCCAAGTATGTAAACAATAACTTGTCTTCCTGTGGGATGAGGATGGACAGTTGAAGTCACTGGGAATCTGAGTTCTTAGCTAAGCAAGACTTCACTAAATATTAGGGCTGTCAAGCAATTTAAAAAAAAATTAATCATGATTAATTGCATGATTAAACAATAATAGAATAGCATTTATTTAAATATTTTTGGTTCTCTGCATTTTAAAATACATAGATTTCAGTTACAACACAGAATACAAAGACTAACAAATTTATTAGAGTGTAAGCTTTCGTGGGCTACAGCCCACTTCATCGGATGCACAGAATGGAACATACAGTAAGAAGATTATACACATATAGATAAGTTGGAAGTTACCGTACAAACTGTGAGAGACTAATTAATTAAGATGAGCTATTATCAGCAGGAGAGAAGAACTTTTGTAGTGATAATCAAGATGGCCCATTTAGACGGTTAACAAGAAGGTGTGAGGATACTTAACTTAAGGAAATAGATTCAATATGTGTAATGACCCAGCCACTCCCAGTCTCTATTCAAACCCAAGTTAATGGTATCTAGTTTGCATATTAATTCAAGCTCAGCAGTTTCTCACTGGAGTCTGTTTTGAAGCTTTTCTCTTGCAAAATTGCCACCCTTAAATCTTTCACTGAGTGGCCAGAGAGGTTGAAGTGTTCTTCTACCAGTTTTTGAATGTTATGATTCCTGATGTCAGATTTGTGTCCATTTATTCTTTTGCGTATTCTTTTGGTTTTAATCCAATCCCTTTTTTCATTTCATTCACTGAGTTGATTAGTGACATCTAATGAAATGTTTTGGGTTTCAAATTTTATGCTCCAATTAAGTTAATAGAGGACAGGAGCCCTAACGTGGTCTGAAGCAGTCTGCAGACTCACAACAACATCCCTGCATTGGTTCATATTGTGAAGGCTTTTCGCAGCCTAGACACTTCAGAATCTAGCTTCCATTATTAATAAAAACAAATGTCCTGAAGGCCACAAATACAAGCAGGTTGAATTTGGTTTCTGAGCCATATGTTGGACAGCCTTGCTTCAAGGATCAAGAATAGCACCTCTCTCCTGCTTCCTTATTACATCTCTAGAGCCCTTGTTTGCAACCTTTTTTCATGGGCGGGCCACTAAAACATTTCAAATGGAGGTGTGGACCCCTTTGGAAATCTTAGACCTAGCTTGCCTAGTGTGCTAGAGTTTGGTCAGACGCTTGCCCGACTATTGAGGCTGATATTTGGGAAGGCGGTGTGTTCACAGGCAGTCTAGTAATGGAGATCTCTGGGATCAAAATTGGTGCTTTTGAGTCAGTAACCCTTTGCAATCTCTCATCAGCTGGTAGTCTGTCTACTCATTAAGGTGGAGTGGGCTGAGTGTGGGGGGAGATCTTGACTCTTACAGAAAACTTGTGACAGAGCAACATGTTCAGAAATTAGTACATCTAAGTATTGTGCAGTTCAGATGTGCAGGCCTATCTCACAGCATTCTAGTTGCCCACTAGTACTGTAATGTCTGAGCATCTCACAGTTTCTGAACTCTTTATCTCCCCATTCTCCTGTGAGATAAGGAAGTGCTATTATCCCTTGTGCTTAAGTGACTTGCCCAAGGATACATGGGAGGCCTTTCTCTTACTAAATCCTAAGCTAGTGCCCGAACTACATCCTTCTTCATTTTAGGAGGCTTGTAGAACCTTCAAGCTGTATTAAAATTTTATAAACTGTTTGCAAATAATTGATTATATTAGGTTTAAAAACTGGCACAATCCCACTCTAATGAAATCCCAATAGACTAGGTTGTCCTTAGCTGTAATGTGCTGAGCAGGTAAGGACTCTGCCCCCTTCCTGGCCCCACTGCCTTAATTGCACCTTTGGTCACAAGTTGCATAAACAGGACTCATGCAAGTGGCTCTCATGCTGAGCAAGGGGGTAGAGCTGTAGCTCTGATATGTCTCCCTTAGCCCCTCTTGCAATGATTACTAGAATTGGACAGATGGGACAGAGGAATAAGTAGCACCCTGAAAATTGCTGCAGTAACTTCCACTACACTGTCACAGAGTAAGAGGGGAACAGGGGAAGAATTGACACTCAAACTTTATCTCCTGGTAAGCTGCTCCCTACGCAGAGTTGAGCCTAACGGCTTCATCTAGCCATTGTTTGGGTTTGTGGACTCTTCTGTGACCAAGAAGAGGAAAGTTTCTTACTGGAAGATTTCCTTCCTCACAGCACACAGATTCACAGATCCACGCCACCCTATTAATTACTGCAATCAAGTGTTTCTCTTTTATGGGCTTTGCAACAAGTTGCTATAGTCACAGTTAAATGATAAATTTACTGTTTAGCCAGCAAGCGTTCTCAACTCTGGACAATATTGCACTGGCAAGCTCTTCAGGAGGAAGCACATCCCCCTGTGTCTGACTCAGATTTGATTTGTCTCCAAAGCGGCAAGGGAGAGACTGTGGGTATGTCTGCGCAGTAGTTGTGCAGGTGCTTCCCAGCACGGGTAGACAGACACGTGTTAGCTCTGCTTGAGCTAGTGTGCTAAAAGTAGCAATGTGCTGGTGGCGACTTGGGCTAGCCACCTCAATATGCACTTGGGGTCACATGGGATCGTACCTGGGTGACTAGACTGAGCTGCCCCTGTGGCCACGCTGCTATTTTTAGTGAGATCTGCTTGAGCTATCAGTCGTGTCTGTATAATCATGCTGGGAAGCTGCTGTGTTGACCTAAGGGCAAGATTTATAAATATTGAGGTGCCTATAGTTGCAGATTGACTATCCACCTATCTGCAGCTGTAAGCACCTAAATACCTTTATAAATCTGGCCTTAAAACTCAGTGGCTGTTACATTAACCTTTTCCTCCTGATATTTCCCATGTTTGTAGATCCATGTTGGTAGCAATGGTGGGAATACTAATGTAGATCAGCTTTGTTTGTTTCCCATCGTAAAATGGGAATACTTATCCCACAGGTGTATTAATGCTTATGAAATGTTCTAAGATCCTCAGAGGGTAGGGCCTACAAAAGTGATAGGTGGTATTATTACTATTTATCCCTAGATTTTTCTTGGTCCTGAATAACCCTCTACCTGCTATTGTCTATTTCTCGTGTTGCCATTCTTGTCTATTAAAGTGTCCTCTTATCTGCTTCAGGCAGGGCCAAAGTGTGTTTAGATACCGGTCCAAATAAAAAGTGGCATAGATTTGAACTGCCACAGGGTGAGCACAAGAAGGTACATTCTCTTTTTGAATGGCCCAAAGGGCAGGGGTTCTGCACTGGCTGCACCACCAGTGAGCTGTTGCACAGGAGGGCAGGATCCCAGAGCTGCTGCCTCTCTTCCCTGCCCCTTTGTGGGGTGCTGAGTGCCCACAGAAGAATAGAGGGAACAGTTGCTACTCTCAGAAGTACTGGAATTGTATCTGTGGTGATCTCACCATGGCCATCATGGTTAAAACTGTTTGATTTATTATTTTAAATAGTTTAAGGTTGTTGATGGGTTTTGGTCCTTTGGCAGAACTTTCTCCATAGAGTCTGATCCTGCACTCCATTGACTTCAGTGGGAGTTGTTTCAACTGGGTTAAGATCGCCCTCAGTTTTTTTTTTTCTATTTATTTCTTTAAGAAGTGGGTTTAGGGATCAATCCTTTATTCCATGTGCAGGGTGAACTCCCAGTGGTTTTGGGGGAAAGCACCTTCCAGCTTTCAAGTGGTTTTGTTCGATTATTTTTTCTTATTTCCTGCTAGGAAATCTGCCCTTACCTCTCTGTTAGAGAAACTATTTCTTTCTCCTTAAATGAACCAAAGTCATTAATGGTTTCTCTTTATTTTTTTCCCTTTTCTTGGGGAGAAAAGCACTCAGGAATGCATTCTCGTTACAGTGCCTGGTCTTCCCCTTAGCACTCTTCAATTTATTTATTCTTCTTTTATTCAACCTTTCTGTATTCTTATTTACTTGTAAATCACTTAATGTTTAATATCTACTTTGCTGCTAACTTCCTTCAAAGATTTTTAATTCCCTTTATACTTCCCTTCTTGTCCCTCCAAGTTGTGTTTATGTAGAGAGATTTAAATATGTATGTAAATATATGTTACATTGCTGTTGTAACATGATCTTCAAGGACTTGGACTGAATTCATTTTTGCTGCATTCTTTGTAAAACAGTTTCCTTAACATTCCATTGATAGCACTTGCTATAAGGACCCAATTCTGTGTGATGCTAATTGCTCCTTTTATTGTCACTGAAGTCAGTGGCACTTCATATGTAAGTAAAGGTAAATAGGATTGGACCCTTAATTTGACATTGTGGCCTTTCTACATTTACATTAGTATGTCCCCTCTCTTTGAGCTTTTGCACTGACATAATTTTACCATCATCTAGTCAAGTTTTAATCTCTCTAATAATTATTGAAAAATAATAAAAAAGTGGGTTGTTTGCCAGGTTCCAGCCTAATGTGGAAATGAAATGGCCAAGAGATTAAACCATGAGGATCTACATTTATAATGGAAAAAGCTGTTCAGACTCTTAACTGTAGCTGTGCTGTTGATATTTCTGTAAGAAACTTTACACTGCAAGTTACCAACAAATGTATGAGTCCTTTGTTAGAGACTAGTTAATTGTTAGTATAATGTGGGCCACAGTTGTTGGTTGTGGTGACAAAAAGGTTTTTTTAACGAATCTGCCTTTGCACATCCAAATGGCTCCCTAAGGGCTTTGTTAGTGATACTGACTGTACAAAAATGCACATGGGGCTTAATCCTGAGCTGTGCTAAGCATGAGCTTGACAGAGCTTGTGCAGGGGTAGTGGAAAGGGAGGCAAAGGTGTCTAAGTCACCTTTTATGTCCTCGTTGGATGGATGATCAAGCAGGGCCAAGATCAATCAGAATGAAATGGACTTATCTCTGATGCTTGTCCGTCCTTGATGTGTTGCCTGTGAGGGTAGGAGAGCCAGCAACAATGACTTCAGGACACCTGAGGACTCCCATTGGCAAGGTGACTCTTTGGCTATTCCTTCAGGACCGGGGGGAATCTGATGCTTGAAGTATGTATTAATTACTTCTCTCTGCACTGAAGTGCCATTATATACCGAAGGGTTAAAGTGTGGCAACTGTTTAAGTGTGAACAGCAACAACATAGTAGACCAATTCAGAAATTCTACAGTATAATTTCTGAATGTCTGTTCTACTCCTTCAACAGGCATGGAACTTCCCTTTGTCAATGGGTAATTCCATATGGGTGAAGAAAACAGGCTTGGAAGAGACCAGCCAGGTGGAGAATTGAGTATTTACGTTATTGTGCAGTGTGTGGAGTTTCTGCTCTTTAAACAGTGGCATGCTTTACTCCAGAAGTGAAAAATACTTTAGCCAGTTGCAAAAATAAGGGAAATTGGGATAGGCAAAGAATGTATTAATTACATACATTGGAATTTGAGTAGGACCCTTGACTCACCATCTTTTGAATATCAGCTGCTGAAATTCAATGCAGGAAAAGTTGTGCTCTGGTGGGAATGTGTGTGTGTGTGTGTTTAGTTGGATCTAAATGGTTACAAAGGGGTTCTCTGCTAGTGAGGGGGAGGGGACAGTGAGAGTGCATTCCCAAAAAAGTACATTCCCAAAATAAGCAGCTTACATCATAGACCTCTTCAGTTTTCCCACACTTCTTTCCTAATTATTATCCTGCAGGACAGCTGATCTATTTCAAACAGGAAGTTGTTTACAGATAACACTTGCAACTGTTCTGTCTGATTTGTTGAACTGTCCAATAGCAAAAGACATCATCTTTTCAAATTAAAAACTGTCAGATTTCTGTAAACAGCAGCATGAGGGTCATCTGTGCAATTTCCCTGCAGGCAGAGTGTGCTCTGCAGTCCCCATTTTCTCAGCAATCATAAGGTAGGAGAGACTTTTGCGGTTTTACTGGTTAGAAGCATGTAAGGAGGAAAAAGTCTGGATGTACGATAGAGACTGGACATGTGAGTGGAAACATTCAAAGTATGTCTGACCACTGGTGTGGGTTAGCTGCAGAATAAGAAACAAAAGCTTGATGTACTGTATTCTGAGAGATAATGTGGACCTTACTGCTTGCAAAAGCCTGATTTAGCTGAAAAAATCCCTGTTTAACCTGGGATTTGTAACCGTGTCAAAGATACTTCTGAGCAAGAGAAAGTGAACTAAAATAAGATTTTTAATTTTTTTTGTTTGTTTTTAACAACTGAAATTGAAATGTATTAACTTTTTTATAGCCACTGGTTCTGATTTTAGTAATTTCAGCATAGCATGTTTGGTTAGAACACACATGATTTAATTGCCAGAGTGGCAAGAGAGAACTGGCTGTGATTCTTCGTAACATAATCAATATAGCCATTTAAGACTAGAAATGTGAAACACATTTCTCAGTCTCTCTGTCTGTTCTGGGGCACCAGAATGTCTTCATCTATTACGAATGATGAGTTTATAATATAGCCCCCAAAGCAAAGGATAGAAGACATGTGGCAATGGTGTCATGCTGAAGTAGACTGTAGAGAAGCGGTGTCCAATAGAAATTCGATGCTTGCCACACTGGTAGCCAGACTTGTGGCTTTGAATTTTAGTTATTAGCTACATTATAAAAATGCCACATGCATTAGCCACAATTCAATAGCCTATTAGCCACATGTGGCTAGTGGCGAACGTATTGGACAGTGCTGCTCTAGAGGTTCCGATAATGACAGAATACACCAATGGCTAGTAAAGGGGTAACTGTAGAGATTGAGTCAAGGATAATTAGGACTGGGATTAGTGGTATATTGGATAAAGGGAAACTTTATTAAAATTAAAGGTTCATATATATGCAGCTTATAGATGTGAATATTGTCTGTGAGGTTTGGGAGGGGAAACGTTTCTTACAAAATTGCGTGCCTAATTAGAGAAGTGAAATGCACCACTTTTTATTTTTCACTTCTCATACAAAGAAATAAAAAAAACTCCTGAGATTAAATTATTACAAATTACTAGTCACTAGTTACTCTGAAAATGTAGCTGAAAGATAATAGCAATTTTTCCACTCTCAGCAGCTGATTTTTGGAGTATTTTGGTGTTAGCTATTTCATATTTACAAGCATGCTCATTTAAAGCAGTAAAGATATTGGAGGATGTAAACCTGTAAGCCAACCATTGATTTAAAGAAAAGATCATTGATGTCATTTTTATGAATCAAATTCTCAATCCTTCTATGATATCACTTACTAAAAATGCCTGTAAAATTTTGATCAAGCTACCTAAATGTCTATTCTTAAAAAGGTATTGCATTTTAGTTTTAATGCTTTGAAATCCAGCTGATTTTGATTAGAACTGAAACAGATACCAGGCGAAAAGATGATATTGTTGCTCTGATTCTGTGAATATTTTCTTCCATAATCCTTTCATTTATAGTAACCTCAGGGATTACTTGTAAGCTTCTGGGGCAGAGACTGACTTTACTGTGTTTATTCAGCGTGTGACATAATGCAGTGCTGGTGTTGGTTAGGGTCTCTAGACACTGCTGTAATACAAATAAGAAATTTAAAAAAATGTTTCTGACAAGAAGTGGGTGGCTTTTGTTTGTGGGGTTTTTTACGTAGAATGTGTCCCTCTAAGAATGTTTGATTGTCTTTAGATAATTCACCCTAGATGTGAACATCTGCCAACATAGAATCACCTAAAAATAGCATGTTCTGTATCACTAACACTTTTCATAGGTGTATGTAAGTCATAATCCAAATTCATAGCCAAACCTGTGACTTTGCCTGATGACCAATACAGAACTGCATTGTGGAAGCAGCAGAGTCCAATTGCATAACTTGTAGTGGGGCTACCATGTTGAAATCTCTCTGAATGAATTCACATAACTTTAAAAACTTCATTTTTACTCTACATTAGGATTGCTCAAAAGTTTTCAGTTTAAACTTTTTTTGGACAGAAAATTGGGTTTTTGACACAACTTTTTTTGTAAAGTGTCTTTTCTGTGGAAAATTTTGTTAGTTTTCCTTTTAATCAAAATATTTCAGCCAAAACCCAAAAGTATTTTGGCTAAAAATGGAAGTTGTGGTTTGCTGCAAGTCCCCATTCTTCTCTATGGGCTGGGATCCCTAGCTGCACTACATCTCCTACACTACATCACCCTTTTGCAGAGGTAAACCTGTGCATTATGGGAGATGTAGTCCAGCTGGTGACCTTGGCCCACAGAAGAGAGTGCGGACGTGAGCATACTGCAACTCCTCGGAGGCATTACACCTCTTGATTTTGGCCAAAAACTTTCAGTTTTGCCAAAAACTCAACATTTCGTATGGAAATCTTCCACAAAAATATTTATTTTTTTCCATTTTTTGGTCAAATTTCTGTGGGGGAAAAATACTCTGTTCTACTCTCCCACCCACACTTCACCAGCCCCGAAAAAACCCAGAAAATTAGCCCAATTCTAGTCTTCAGCCATCTGCAAACTAGCCAGCCTCTGACATGTTAGCAGTTGAAAACTTCATCTGTGTTTGGAAAGCCATGTTTACTCATAGGCAGTATCAAATCCCAGTGATTATCATGGATTCACTCCTATCGATCTAAGGTACTTCTGTGGCCTCCAGATCCTAAAGTGATGAACACCTCACCATGATTAATTTAGTTATCTTCACAGTCCCCTGTGAGGTAGGGAAGTGTTATCCCCATTTTACAGAGGGGGAACTGAAGGACAGAGAGAGACTGAGGGACCGATTTTTGAAGATATTTAGGATTCTAAAGTTGTAATTAGGTGTATAGTGGGATTTTCAAAAGTACCTAGGAGCCTAACTCCCAATCTAAAATGCCATGAAGAGTGGGATCCTAAAGGGACTTATGGGTAGCAATGCTGAGCATCACGGAGCCTAGAAAATGAAAGGGACAACACTCTGATCCACAAAACCTGAGTTGGACACCTAAGTTTCCTATACAAACATGGGTGGACAGAGATGCCTACCAATGCCATCTCCAAAAGCCAGGATGCTAGGTGGGGCAGAACTGCCTAAATTAGCCATGGGGAAGTGTTGAGGGGGGAGAGTGTGCTAAGCTCTTCCCCTCTCTCAGAGATAGGCACCTATGCCCAGACTGCAGGGAGATGCCTAGCTTTGCTTAGCATTACACGAACGGGAATGTGCCTCCTGACTTCCGTTGGCTTAGGCACCTAAGATATTTCTTGTGGGACTGAGTTAGGCTCTCCACACAAAACAGGGGGAAGAGGAGGTGGTGGTCCCCACCTGTATAACTCTTAGCCTAGCAGTTAGAGCACTTGTCTGGGATGTGGGGACCCAGATTCAATTTCCCCCTCTTTGCCAGAAGAGGAGAGAGGATTTGAACAAGGAGTCTTTTAAGAGTGCTCTAACCAGTGGACTTTGGAATAGTCTGATGTGGGGGCTCCCTCATTCTCTCCTGTTGAAACCATTCCATTGTGGATAAATAATGAAAGAGCGAGTGGAGTAGGGGGATTGGACCCAGGGTCTTCTACCTCCCAGGGGGGTGCCCTACCCAGCAGACAACAGCATCATTCTCTCTCTGGTGTTTGACACTTCTGTCATTAATGGGGTCACTGCAAGTAACCTTCTAGACTGAATCACAGAAGAGAAGGATCTCATAAAATGTATACAGGACGTTGGTAGGGTATGGCAGAAATGGCCAGCTGAGAGAAGAACCAGTGCAGATAATAAAAAGGGGCAGCACCCTATGTAACCTGCATTGACTGTGAGTAGAGCTCAAGGTGTTGGTTTTAACCTCTAAAGCCTTAAATAATTTAGGAGTGAGTTACTGCTAGATCACCCCTCTATGGTGTCGTATTACTGCGCTTGAGCCCAGAACCTGAGCTAGTGCTCTCTGAATGTAGAAAGGAGGAAGCTGCTGGCAGCTGTTGGTTGTGTTTCGCTCTGCAGCCTTTTGGGGAGGATTTGAGACTAGAAGGGCTTAGTTTATTAATATCCTTATTTGCCGTGGAGTTTAAGCCATTACAGCTGTATGAAGGGGTTGCCAACTCTCATGAATTTATTGTGAGAATTTGGAATATTTGGTAGTTTTTTTTTGAAAGCCTCAGCTTTCTTTTCTTCTCTTTTTAAATAAGTTTATAGTACTTGGGGTTGTAGAGAAGCTTGTAAATATGACCTGAATGCACCCCAAAGGCTCAGCAATCAATGACAAACTAAAATAAATTGGCTTAAAAATCATGAGATTTTTTTAAAATCATGATTCTTTGCCACTTGATTCATGATTTTTGAATACTTGGGTTGGTAACAATGTAGATCCCTTCCAGCTGAAAGTGCCAAATTTCACACAGCTCTCCTCGATCTTGCTACATAGTAAAGAAACAACCTTTATGACAATGTATGGCCAATATTTTCAAAAGCATCCACTAAACTGGACTGCCTCACTCTCTTGGTTCCTACAAATAAATGCAACTGGCTGCACTACTGAGGTCACATGCAGTCATTTTTACAGGGTTAGGGCATAACTGAGACAATGGGGGGACCTGGTTTTCAGAAGCGTTGAGCATTTATAATTAAATCCCTGGGGAAGTTTGGGTGCTCAGCATAAAAGAAAATTAGATCCAATGTGTCTCAAGGTGCCTCCAAATTCTTGGAAAATTTAAATCCGGATCTGTATTTGAACTTTCCAGCTTGGGCTTACCTCTAGTTTCATAATCAGAATGGTTGTATACTGTGTTCCCGCTACACCGCACAGTTGCGTGGTCGCCCAGGAGTGAATCAAGGGCCGTGCACTTCGTTAACAGAGCTGCGCACAGTGGCAACATGTTCAGGTGCCCCTCTCCCTGCAGCTCTGCAGCTGCGTTGCTCCTCTGCCTTGAAGCTCCTGGCCATCTGCTCCCGGGATCCTCCTGCTTGCTGTGCAGAGTAGGGGATGGAGGATGACGTCAGGATGTCCCCCTCTCCCTGCTTTCCTCCTGCCCATGTACCCCATCTCCACAGAGCAGGAGACAGGGCTCAGGAGCAGGAGAGCTCAGCTGCTGCAGTCTGAGACTTCGGGTTTGTGTGCCTTAAAGAGACAGTGCATGGTCTCCCATAGACTTCCCCAGCAGCCAGCACACACACAATCTCTGTGTGTGTGTGTCACGCATATGCACATGCGCACACACACTGTGTGTGTGTCTGTCACACACAAACACTGTCTCTGTGTCTGTCTCACGCACATACATACACACACACACACACACTGTCTCTGTCTCATAGAATCATAGAATATCAGGGTTGGAAGGGACCCCAGAAGGTCATCTAGTCCAACCCCCTGCTCGAAGCAGGACCAATTCCCAGTTAAATCATCCCAGCCAGGGCTTTGTCAAGCCTGACCTTGAAAACCTCTAAGGAAGGAGATTCTACCACCTCCCTAGGTAACGCATTCCAGTGTTTCACCACCCTCTTAGTGAAAAAGTTTTTCCTAATATCCAATCTAAACCTCCCCCACTGCAACTTACCCTTTATTTACTATCTTTTAACCAGTTACTGATTCATGAGTGGACTTGCCCTCTTATCCCGTGACTGCTTACTTTGCTTAAAAGCCTTTGGTGAGGGACCTTGTCAAAGGCTTTCTGAAAGTCCAAGTACACTATATACACTGGATCATCCTTGTCTACATGTTGTTGACCCCTCAAAGAATTCTAATAGAGCAGTGAAGCATGATTTCCTTTACAAAAGCTGTGTTGACTCTTCCCCAACATACTGTGTTCATCTATGTGTCTGATAATTCTGTTCTTTACTATAGTTTCAACCAATTTGCCTGGTACTTAAATTAGGTTTACCAGCCTGTTATTGTCAGGATTACCTCTGGAGCCTTTTTTTAAAAATCAGCATTACATTAGCTATCGTTCTGTCATTTCTGGTACTGAGGCTGATTTAAGCGATAGGTTACATACCACAGTAAGTACTTTCATATTAGAGAGCCTTCAGAACTCTTGGGAGAATACTATCTGGTCCTGGTCACTTATTACTGTTTAAGTTATCAATTTGTTCCAAAACCTCCTGTGCTGACACTTCAATCTGGGACAGTTCCTCAGATTTGTCACCTAAAAGGAATGGTTCAGGTGTGGAATTTCTCTCACATCCTTTGCAGTGAAGACTGATACAAATAATTCATTTAGCTTCTTTTCAATGTCCTTGTCTTCCTTGAGTGTCCCTGACTGCTCGCCCCTCCCAGGATATGGTAGCCTATGCGGGGGAATAAGGGAACCCTTTTGTGCTCTTATTCCTCTGTGTGGAAGCATAGCCAGGGTCACATTTTAGCCATTAACATTGTGAGGGTGATTCAGACTGTATGCTCATTCAGTATTTAGCCTCCCTGCTGAGATTCCCAGCAAATGTACCATTTCTGATGGTGGGGTTTATAATGTGGATTGCATCTGTGACTGGATTGAGATCACCTGCTTATTTCACATTGGCTACTGAATACAGCAATCACATGGCAGGGACTTTCAATTACAATCACATTAGGCTAGATTTAAATTGATGGCATGGGGTGAAAGACTTCATGTCCCATTACTGATCTTTTGGGCTACCCCCATAATAGCCTGATATCAATTTGTTCAGTCTAGCCATAAACCTGCACACAAGTGTGCAGTGGCTAATGCAGGAGAACCAGAATTGGTGACAGACATCTTCTCCATATCTTGATGCTTTGATCTGGTTTTCACTTTCTCCCTACTCCTGCTACTACGAAGTGCTAAGTGCTACTGAAAGGAAGAAATCAGGAGGACTGTGATAATTCTTTTCTTTCCTGAAAGAGCATTTTTGCAGTCCTCTTGTAGATCAGCTTTTGGTGACCTATTCAATCAAACTATATTTCTGGGCAGTTTCTTTTCCCAAAGGGTCTACCTACAGCATAACAGTATGAAGCCCGTTCCACTGACAGATTTGTAGGAGGCTGTGATTTCCATGAGCTAAGGGCTTGTACACACTACAATTTATGTTGGTGTAATTTATGTCAGTGAGGGGTGTGAATAAGCTACCTCCTGAGCGATGTAAGTTACACCAAACTACCTGCTGGTTTGGACAATGTTATGTCAATGGAGAGCTTCTCCCACGACATAGCTATCGCCTCTCGGGGAGGTGGTTTTATTATGCCGCCGGGAGAGCTCTCTTCTGTCAGCATAGAGCATCTTCACCACACACGCTACAGTGGCACAGCTGTACTGATGAAGCTGCGCCAATGTAGCACTTCAAGTGTAGACTAGTCTTAAGTCTCTTTCCAAAGTTGTTATTCACCTTGCTCAGGTGTAGATAACCTCCTGGATTTATTAAAGACTCTGGTGTATTTACATTCCATGTTGAAATTGAAGAGATAAGGGCTCTTGCATCAAACACTGTAAAGATACCAGTGGCAGCTATCAAAGCTGTGAAAGGTAAAATTTATGCATTCTCCTACCCTGGGCTGTCAACTCAGATATTTGTATCTTTCCATGTAAATCCCTGGTACATTTCTTCATTCAACATTGATGGTAACCTCACCTTTAGTGGGCATCTTTTCCATTGACAGATATGGAAAATAGAAAATAAGTCTTACATATCAGTGGTCTTTTTTTGTTTTGTTAAGAGAAGGGAATTTTTTACCATCCTTTTTACCTAATTTGTCTTCTGAATTTTACCTCAACCAGTGTATTCTTAAAAGGAACAGCTGAATGACCATAAATCCCTATTGTATTGTACAACATATGTTTATTAGGCATACAACCTGTACACATTCTTTTCATGCTATTTAGACTATAGTACACACAAACATACTCCATTCGTGGTGCCACACTGCATGCTCTCAGAAACTATTAGAAGCCTTTGGAATTCCCATGACTGTTTATTCATTCTTTTGTTTAGGAGTCAGTGACCTGCAAGCACTCATTATGAAGAGAGATCTGTGTTTTCTGGTGACTCTAATTAGCCTTGCCTTCCTGTCACTGTTAAGATCTGGATATCCTCAACATATTGCAGAAGAGTCCTGCTCTGTTCAGATTCTTGTTCCAGGCCTCAAAGGTAATGTTTGAGTCTCTCCCTCTGCCTAAATAGTAATCTCTTTTTTTTTTTTACAGGTTTATTTGAACCAATGACAAGTCATATGCAATTTCTAGCAGGGACTAACATCTCTACAAGGTGCCTTATAATTGCCCTTTCCATAGTAGGATTTGGAATAATTTTCCAAACATGGCCAAGCACAGTCTGTAACATGATTTGTGTCCATTAAAACAACATGGTTACAAACTGCAGGCCTGACTCTGCAAAGCCCACTCATGAGGAATAGCCCTCGTTACTAGATGGGTTTTCCTTATGACTTCAGTGGGTTTATGCTCATGGGTAGTACTCAGCGTACATAAAGGTTGCAGAATCTGGCTCTGTGTTATGACTGTCTAGAAAACATTTTATAAGCCTTTATTGCCCCTTTGAGAGGGACTACTTGGAAATAATCAATAACTCTATATTTGCTAAACTGAAATACACTTTTCTTTGTGGCAAACTCTGAGAATGCTGAGCACCTTCAACTTCCATTGACTTAAATGCTCAGTGCCTCTCAGAGTTTGGCCAGGTATGATTATGAAAATAAAGCTGCCTACTATTTGCTCTACATTTTGGCCAAGAATATTGCCTGATACAGATGGTATGACAAAATATTGGTCTCTTCAAGTAAAGGAATACCTTGGCATCCATACTTTAAATAGCACAGAACTTCTAACTTAATTCTTGTTCTGAAGCAGTAGCATGTATTGCCAATGTTATACCTAATGATCCGAATTAAGGGTGTGTGCGAAATCTTGGCCCAATTGAAGTCAATAGCAAAACTCCCATTGACTTCAATAGGGCCAGGATTTTGCCTGAGATGTATGTAAGGATGCTATATGTGCCATTCCTAATAAGTGTGTGGCAAGAGACTCTGTGAGCTATAGACCAGGAACAGTTAACATATCATCAGCTGACAAACTTGCATTGTCTAAAAACTATACAATTTATCAACATATTAAACCTTACAGTTTTTCTTGTGGTTGTGCCTCTATTGTCAAATGATGTCACTCATATAAGATGGCTGCCACCAGCGTTAAGAAAACTTTTTTTTATTTTTACTGCACAACTGAGAAATGCTTTTCCTTCAGATTGCTGACCTGAGAACAAGGGTAGAGTTTTCTTTTCACGGGCTGGCCCCTGAACTCTTAGCCATGTTGACACCTAAGGTGGGGGTGAAAAGTCGAGCAGTGTTAGTTTGATGCATTCAGACAATCCATGATTTGACTGAGCCTTAATTGTTTCCATTCATCTCCCATCTTTAGTATGTATCTCACACAAATAACAGCATTATCAAATTTATTATTGCATAGCCTAGTGATAGAGAAGATTGATCAAGTGGTCAGAACGCGGCATGGGGAACTAGGAACTTTAATCCTGGTTCTGTTGTTGACTTTCTCTGGGTCCTTGGGCCAGTCCCTTAGTCTCTCTCCTTTCACTTCCCCATTTGTATAATCAGGGTAATTCTGTGTACAGACATTCACCACCTCACAGTAGTGTTGGTAAGATTAGTTAGTTAATGCTTATGAAGCACTTAGTGCCATCTAAATGCTAAAAGTGCTATTATTACAATGTAGAACTTTCCCAGCAATAATTCTGGCCTCTTTTTTTAGTAAGGCAATCAGGAATAGAGCCATAAAACAATGAGGAAGCTTGAAAACCAGAATGCTTTAGTGCTTTCACTCCACCTAATTAGAAACAGTCATTGACATGGCAAGGGAGATTGATGTACAATTTCAGTGAAGCACATAATGACCTGCTAAGCTTAATGTAAAATCTCTAAAAAGCCACCAATGCCCAAACTAAACTGTCGGGGGACTGACTGTCTCAGAGGCGTGGTAGTAATATACAGAGCCTTTCATCTGTTGGCTCAAATCCAGTGCATGTCAGGAATGACCAAGATTTCCGCTAAACTGAGTATATGTATGGCCACATGCCCAAAACTCAGCTCGTGAGCAGCATTCAGCTCTGCACAGAAGCAACACTTAAATATGCCATAGCTCCTCCACTGCTGAGCTGCCACTGATATCTGTGGCCACAGTGGAGCAAAGCATCTCATAATGGAGCCCAACACAGCCAGCTGGGCTCTGACTGCCTTAGAAGGATGTCCCAGAAGATCTCCCATCCCTGTTCCTTACTGGGAGCTTATACCTGAAACATGTCTGTAGCAGGCTTTGGGGAGAATGGGGGAAGAAGAGAGGTTATGGGGAACAGAGGAAAGAGATGTTGGGGACCCTGGGAAGTGGGGAATTGGGATACCCTAGGAAGGGAAAGAGATTTCTAGGAGGGGTAGAAAAAAAGATAACAAGGGAGACTTAGGAATGGACAGAGAGAGCATAGCATGCCAGAGGCACCAAGTGAGATGACGAGAGGGAAGGGGACGCAAGAGATGGAGAGGCACTGAGAAGTGTGTGTGTGTGTGTTTGTGTGTGAAAAGAAACATACAAAAGAAGAAGGAAAGAGAGGACCCAAAGAAAAGAACAAGGGAGAGAAAATGGGAACCCATTGAAGAAGAAAACGGAAAATAGAGAAGGAAGGAAAATTGAAATGAAAATAAGACTGGAAAAAGAAGGGAATAAAAAATAAAGTCACACACCGATTTATTCATTCATGTACTTACATCTTAGGTTTGCTTTTTTTTAAAAAAAAATAAACCTAATGAAATAGACAAGATGATTTATCCTGGGACCTAGATGGGGGTGGGAAGAGGAAGGATACTGTGGTTCTGGGAGTCCACATGGCACAATGATGCATGCTTTAGAAATCCAGAAGTATAAGATTAATAATTAGAAAAGCATGATAGTGCATGAGAGAAGAGATGGAGGATTCAGACCGACTACATTGCTCATTCAAACCTCTCTTAAAACACTACTACTTCTGCCAGGCCCAAAAGAAGTGAGTTTTTTATTATTCTGGAGAATAAATATATATAAAAAACCACCTGAGCTATTCTAAGCTTTGGATTTGCCAATTTGTCCTGTCTTCTGTCTTTAAGACTGTAAGCTCTTCAGAGCAGGGACTGTTTAATATTCTCAATGATATGTCACGCACAAAAAAAGTTGACATGAAATACATAAAAATAATTATCATAATCTTTCTTCCTGTGTATTCACTCAGTTAATAGTTCTACTCACATATAGGGCACGCTGGTAATGACAGAAAGTTATCACCAGCTAATGGGTTCTCCATAACCTATGTGTTTATTATTACTATTATTATTTGTATTATGGTAGAGCTTAGAGACTCCAACTGAAAACAGGGGATCTCCTTGTACTAGATACTGTACAAACACATACTGAGGCATAGCTCCTACCCCAGATTGCTTACAAGGCAAGGAAAAGATACAAGGAAGTGGAAAAAAGGCAATATTATTATTGACGCCCCCTTACAGATGGTCAAACAAATAGAGGCAGAAACTGAACTTCGATAGTCTAAGTCCTAGTCCAGTGTCTTAACTGGAAAGACCAGTCTTTCTCTCTTTGGTGGTCTTAGTCCGCATCACAAAACCCACAATAGTATTAGGCACTGACTGGCACATCAGGCAGTCTGAGAGGAAAGCCAAGGACTGAATGGGCCTAGAAACTGATGTATTCTTTCACCCTTAGAAATGGTCCCTCCAGGTCAAGGTCACTGCAAGGAAACCTGCTACTGTTGCCCTCAAACTAGGAAAAAAATGCAGACAAGCACAATTCCTGAAGCAGTCGTGATCTATCTTAGTGACCCCTGATGCATGGCTTTCACTCTGGAGTGACTCATGAAGTAATAGGCTGTAGTATCTTGCTCTGCGTCTCCACAGAAAAAAAGGCTAGAGGGAAAATACTATCAAGATTTATGTTTGGCAAGTAAGGAGTCTATAATCATCTCAACGGGGGGGAGGGGAGATAGTAATATGGAGCCTGTTGGCTACTCGAGGATAAAAAAACAGAAATTCTTTAATGTGCCAAAGACAAGTAAAAGTCACACAAATTATACCATTAACTCTGAGTTGTCAGTAGTATTTTCTTATGGAGAGCAAGGGCCTCCCCGTAGCTTTGACCACCTGAAGGTGGCATTGGAAGATGGTCAGGAGCCTGAATACGTTAGTTGGAGCTGCTATCCTTTGGAGGCACAGGCAGCCTTAGAATTCTGAATGCTGCCCTCGAATAAGGAGCAGAGGCTTGTGGAGATTGCTGCTTTCAAGTATGTGAGACTCCATTTTGTTCTCGGCAATCTTTCTTGTCTATGCACTTCCTTATGGTGGCTGTGGTTTGTGTTAGAGAACTCCATGACTACACGTGGACCATAAGCTTCATGTTGGCTACCCTGCTTTACATACAAGATAGAGAATTATTGGAAAACTTATCAATATTCATATTCCTGGGTCCACAGAGTATGATGGCAACAGCTTTGCCTTTAGTTTCAAGATGTCAATTCGTCTCATTGTAGTCATTGACATTGTTTTCTTTTATGTTTGTGGTTTTCTTCTTTTTCACAGAAGCTTTTGTTTTCTTAGCTGGGACTTTGTTAAATTGATGATCGAGATTCTTAGTTATTTAATTAGTACAGATATTTGAATTGTATTTTAAGTAACGAAATATAGTAGCGGGGGTACAGAGCAAACCACTCAACCACAAATACCTAGTTAATGAAAACAAGACAGCTTACATTTATTAAGGCTGCTATTTAAATATGAAGAGTCTATATTTTATGCCCTGAGCTAGTTGAACATGAATATAATACATAGGGGTTCCAACTAAAAAAATTAAGAGATGCAGCAAATTATCAGGAATGAAGGCATTTCCTCCTACAGGTCCCAATCTATCATTACTCAGCAAAACACTTAAGCATGCTTAATGAGACTTAATATATGTATCAAGTTAAGCATATGCTTATGTGCTTTGCTGAAGAGGGATGGATTTAAGCATGTGCTTATGTGCTTTGCTGAATTGGGACGTAATACAATCATGCAGTCAAAATGATATAAGATTGATGGTGCTGATGTACTACTGGATGTGTCTTTTGTGTCTACTCGTGAATAATCTTATTGGCTGCAGATGAATAAGGGCTGCAGAATCAGAACTTTGGTTTAGGCTATGTCTGCACTGCAAATTATTGGCTGCAGATGAATAAGGGCTGCAGAATCAGAACTTTGGTTTAGGCTATGTCTGCACTGCAGATTACTTCAGTTTAATTTACGTTGCTTAAGGGTGTGAATAATCCATGCCCCTGAGCGATTTGAGTTATACTGACCTAAGCCATGGTGTAGACAATGCTATGTCAATGGAAGAGATTCTCTCACCAATATAGCCTACTACGTTTTGTGGAGGTAGGAATTATTAAGCCGACAGGAGAGCTCTCTCCCATTGACTTAGTGTCACTGACTTCACCAGAAGTGCTAGAGCGGTGCAGCTGCACCTACCCTTAAGAGTCAGTTATGTATTCTCTGCCCTTACCGTAGGTATCCATGTGACTGGTTAATGGCTGTATCATGTTCTTCATTCAAAACATGAAGGCTACCAAAGTCAAAATCCTCCAGCTTTTTCCTTAATGTACATGTGGCTTTTTTCCAAAGGCAAAACAAAATGAAGTTCCTCTAGTCATTTATTACTGATGGCTATTCAGACTGACTGAGATATCTATAGGAAGTGATGGATCAATATGTTTTATTCTTTCTTCTTCTTTCCTTTTATATTAATAGGGGAGGCTGGAGAAAAAGGGGAGAAAGGTGCTCCAGGGCGTCCGGGGAGAGTTGGACCTTCAGGAGAAAAAGGTAACTTGGTTAAAGAAGATAGACTAAGAAAGTTATTCTGGATCAAAAGTTTTCCTGGTGGATGATGAGAATCCTTTCTGTTTTTGCTAAAACTAAGGCTTCCCTGGCCATTTCCCTGTGACCTACAGACCCCATTTGGAGATTGTGTCTACCACCTTTCTGGTCAGAGACTCATTTTGGAACCCTTTAATGCTGTTTCTTGATTTGCCAGAGGGATCCCAGTTGAGAAAGACATTACATTATGTGGCCTCCATGTTATTCTTAGCTTTTGCTGCCTGGGTGGTACCTGCTGCATATCAGTGTGAGGAATTAGCACTAGATCACTGAAAAAACAAGTTCAAAACCTGCTTTTCAGACCCTGTTCTCTACTGCTGTTTGCACACACACGTGCATGCCCTTTTGACACATTAATACCTGCAAATACAGGTGTTAGAATTTTCACAGGCAAAAAACGTTTTGACACTTGTGTGACCTTGGGTGAGTTACACACTTCTTGTGTCACAGTGTAGCCCTCTGTAAAATGAGTACACTAATATTTGTGGTGAAGGTCATTTAATTAAAGCTTATGAAGGACTTTGTGATCTTCAGGTGAATGACATTTTATAAATACATAATTATCAGAGCTGACATTTCAACATTTGATTTTATCCTGAAATGGCATTTTTGATCGAAATTAAATATTTTGACATTCCAGAAATAAAAATGTTTCATTTCAGTTTATTGAACTGACCTGAAATGCTTCTTTTAAAATAATATCAATATTAAGCTGCATTTCCATCTGGTGATGCATCATGTGACTGCCATGATACATTATGGCAACTGTAGTCAGGGAACCTGATGTACCCATTCTCTACTGTGGGCCAGGCTTCCTGACTGGACTACATCTCCCACACAATGCACCAAAACTCATGTGACTGCCATGATGCACCATGAAGCTCAGCCTACATGAAATCAGCTCATTGCCTTATGGGAGATATTGTTAGACCCTGCAGGGCTGGAACCTGGAAGGTTCAGGACCGCTGATGCCTCTGTATTGCCATGGGAGGCTTAGGCTTAGGCTAGGCTAGGCTCCCATGGGAGGATGCTGTGAGGCTGAGCTTGGCAGGAAGTACTTCCCAACAGGACTGGAGTGGTGGCCCCTCACAGCCCCCTGATTGGCTGATACCAGTATATAAATCAGGAAGCCATGAAGGGGAACTGTCTGAGCAACAACGTAGACTCCCTCACCCATTTCTGCTTCAGACCCTGATTGTGATAGGCCCTAGACTCTGGTTTCTGACCCTGGTTTGTCCTCGACTTTGCTATTCGATTGCTGTCTGTAACCTGGTGCCCGACCCCAGTCTCCTGGTAACCTGACACTGCTGTCTCCTGATGCTTGACTCTCAGTTCACCCTCTGGCCTGTCTTGGACTCTGACCTCCTGGTACCTGATTCAGCCCGACTAATGACTCCTGCTCCAACCACTTAGTCTCACTACCTTCTTCCTGGTTGTGACAGATCTAATCCTTCAGGGAGTCTGGCCCATAAGAGAGAATGGGGCCTGGAATTATAACTCCCATAAGACAATTTGCCATTAGTTAGGTTGTTTGCACCCCTACTGAAAGGCTGTTCCAGAACCTCACTCCTTTGATGGTTAGAAGCCATCTCCTAATTTCCAGCCTAGATTTCTTCTTCTAATTTTCAGCGTAAACATTTTGGATCAGTTCAGAAATCCATGTATTCAGATTTGGGTCAAAATGACCTGAAATAAAATATTTCATTTAGATTTTCCTGACTGAAAATAATAATAAAAAAAAACCTGTCAAAATTTTTGGAGAAACTACATTTTCTGATGGAAAAGTTGTTACAATAGAAAATTTCTGCCTCGCTCTAATAATTATAATGCTTTTTCATTCCTGTGTGCCTCTGCAATTCTGATTTCATGCTGGGCCTGGAGGAGGAAGTGCTGAAATAAAAATACCTTGCAAGAAAAAACATCAAAACCAGCAAGAGACAAAGGAAAATAGGAGTTTCATGGCCTATGTATTGGTATTTTTCCAGATGATGCTTCCAGAATGACTGAACAGAGGCAAAACCTTTTATACCAGTCAAAAAAATTAAAGAGCAAGACATTTTTTCATCTCTCCTTTATCCAGTCAGGTTCAGCAAAGTAGATCGTATTGGACGTATTCTCAGAACACCTGAAGATGGAAATATTTTGTTTTAGCAAAGTGTGAAGGGTTTATAAAACAAACTCCTATGTGAAATGGACTCTAATTAGGTCATCTTTTCATTAATATTTTATAGTTTTTAAAAATTTGTCTACATTAATTGCTCTCCACAAATGCTTTTTTCATATGAATATAGGTTGTTATTTTTAAAATAATGTGGAATACATGATACAAAAATTATTCAAGGCAATTAAAAACCCTTTATTAGAGACCCCCCCCCAGTAGAGTATATTTGGTTCACCAGGCTTTAAGAAGTGCCTTACTAGCAAGGAAGCAATCCTGATTGCAGACAAGCACTCCCTGTGCATCTGCTGCCTCAGGGAAGGCCACATCCAGCAAAAGTGTGGTCTCTGCCAGCAAATCCAGCCACGATCTTGTAAGGGCAGAGAGCTCTGACAGAACATTATCTTCATGGAGGCGGCTCTCAGGCCCTCACAGGATCCACACCATGAGTCACCTGGCAGATGTCAGTCTTCCCCACAGCTCTCTACATCTAAAGGCTGTGGGTCAAGGAAAAAGATTGCTGCCCCCTCTCACAAGTCATCTAAGAAAAGAGCAGACAGTCTTCATACTGAGCCCCGAGATAGCTGTAAGTGGTCCCTATCTCGCTCGGTATCTTTGGCACCATCGGTACTGAGACCATCTCAGTCCAGTACCCATTGCTCATGGAAACCAACAGCAGCCTGTTCCACTGACATGCTAATGGACCCTATGGGCATGGGCACTGGGGAATGGGCACCGAAGGACAGGAGTAAGCACTCCGCTAAAAAGGAGCTCCCAGTATGTGAATCTACATCGGTACCATCATCACTGCCTCATCCAGCTCCGGAGAGACCGGTACAGATAAGATCCCTGTCTCCCCCAGCACTGCCCCTAACACCGGGGTGGTCAGTACTGGCGAACCAGAGGAGGTGGTGTCACAGTACTCCTCTCAGGCTCCATATGGTGCTCAGTACCAGCAAGGCCCATGTCCGCAGATGGCCCCATCACCACCATTGTGGTATGGCCACCCATGGGCACCACCACCAGGCTCTATGCCACCATCATCCCAGTGGTCTTATTGGGACCCGTGGGCAGCATATCACCAAAATGCCTCTCAGGCTTTAAACCTCACCCAAGAACCCTCAAGGCACACCACCTCAGCTGCAGCATCCAGTGCTTTGGAGCCTCCACAAAATATCATAGAGGGACGGGAGGGTGGGGCCAAAGAAGCAATGACACTGAGGAGCATATCCTCCTTCTCCCTGGATGAAGCTGTCATTGCCTTCCCCACCATCTCTGGTGGACAACTTTTGTCTCTTCCAGGAATTGGCAAAGACAGTTGCAGACACTCTCCAAATACTCCTGGAAGAAATCAAGGATATTCATCATCGGCTCCTTGACATCCTCCATTCTTCCTCCTCCTCCTCCAAGATTGCCCTCCCTATTAATGAGGCCACCTTAGACCCGGCAAGAACCATCTGGCAAACCCCAGCATCGGTAGCACCAACCTCCAAGTGGGTAGACAAAAAATACGATGTCCCCACGAATGAATCTAAATTCCTCTTCTCCCACCCCCCCCCAACTCCATCATGGTGGACACCATTAATTCCTGCGGCTGCCAACACCAGTCGAGGGCCACTCCCTAAGATAGAGACTGGAAGCGCCTAGCCATGCTTCAAATCCATATCACCAACTACCAGGCCCTCACAGCGAAATATGATTATATAAACTATTCAAAACTGAATTACTTTATTGAGCAGATACCAGAATTACATTGTCACCATTTAAGGCTATTATCCAGGAGGGCCAGTTAGTGGCAAAGACATTGCTGCATTCTGCCTTTGATGCGGCTGACACAGCAGCTAGTGGTGATGCGAGGGCATCATGGCTCCATCTGTCGGGCTTCTGGAAGGAAGTACAGTCTCCTGTTGAGGCCCTCCCTTTTGAGGGCACAGAGCTCTTTGCAGAGAAGACTGATGCTCCCTTCAAACCCTGAAGGACTCTAGGGCCACTCCCCAGTTGCTGGGCATCTGTGCACCAGGACAAAAAAGACTATTTAGTCCCCAGTCCCTGCATAGACCACACACATTTCAATATCAACTTCATTGCCACCATGAGTCACAAAGAAAGAAAGGAAAATTTCCGAAGTGCAGACCAGCTGGACCACAATCTTCTTCGTCCCAGCCCTCTATGTCCAAACACCAGTTTTGACGGGTGGGTCAAGGAGCTGTTAGACTGCTCCCCCCAACTGATACAGCCGATAAACGCTTTACACCCATTTGGCCACCAATTGGCAACATGCTGCAGTGCCTGGGAATTCATAACATCAGGCCAGTGGGTCCCAGAGATCAATCAAACTGGGTGCACCATACATTTTACTTCCCTACCATCTCCACAACACCACTATTTTTTTTCCTATGGGTGCTTGAGCCCCTCACCATCCATGGAGTTAGTACGTATGCTGCTCAGGAGTCACCTACAGTGGAGCACCCATCGGGACACTACTCGAAGAAGAGGTTACTAACCTTGTGCAGTAATGGTGGTTCTTCAAGATGTTTGTCCCTATGGGTCCTCCACAACTCACCCTCCTCCCCTCTACTTCGGAGTTCTTGTCTATGGCTTGGCAGTAGAGAAGGAACTGAGAGGGGTTAACCTGCATGTGCTGACTAGCCTCGTGGCAGGGCACAAGTCTAATCGCCTTCTATGATGAGATTACTGGTTCTGTGGATGAAGGGAAAGCAGTGGATGTATTGTTTCTTGACTTTAGCAAAGCTTTCGACACGGTCTCCCACAGTATTCTTGTCAGCAA